TCTTCTTAAACATTTTCTAACAAAAAATGGCGACCAAATCCATCTTCTTCTTCTTATTTGTCTCCGCCGTGTGCTTGTCGTCTCTCGCCGGCGTTGCCGTCGCTGACGCTGATGACTTTGACCGTTTCCAAATTCAGGGATCAGTTTATTGTGATACATGCCGTGTTCAATTCGTTACCCGTCTAAGCAAATTCCTTGAAGGTAAAAACTATAATTTTTTATGTTTTTCTACACAAAGTACTCATGATTATGCGTTATTCTAAGATTATGTCAGGTTTTAGGCATGCATGCAAAATGTGGGTACGATAAGTAATTCATTTACCTTTTTGGGCTAAAAATATGTATGGAATATATTTTAAAATAAAATAAAATATAGACACTCTTTGTGTGTAAATACATTAACAAGAAATAAATATGGGTCTTAACACATAGATAAAATTTCTCTATTTACAATACATGTGCATTTAGATTTTGGTTTGATATGAGAACACAATATTACATTACAACATTGTGTTTGGACAAAATAACATACACCAATCAAGTGGAAGTGGACTAGTAGTTTCGTTGTATCGAGAATACGTCGTATTGATCTAGGCCTAAGAACGAATTCTTAAGCGTAGAATCATCTCACCGTTCGGTTTAGTCCCCCTTAAATGTATTAAGTAGCTAGAAAATTCGAATTTTTAAGATCCTTGGATTATTAAAGAAAAAGTTATTAAGAATTCGTTTTTGGAATCGGTGTAGGAGCGAAAGTGAAGCTAGAGTGCAGGAGCAGAACTAACGGAACCGTAACGTTGACCAAAGAAGCCGTTACGGACAAAACAGGTAGCTACCAAATGGAAGTAACCGGTGACCACGAGGAAGAAGTGTGCGAGCTCGTGCTCGTCCAATCACCGGACTCTGGTTGCAGTGACGTCAGCAAAGAGGCTTACCTACGTAACGCCGCTAAGATCAGTTTAACGGCGAATGACGGAATCGTATCTCACGAGACACGTATCGTTAACCCTCTTGGTTTCATGGTTAAGACTCCGTTAGCTGACTGCCCTGCTGCTTTCAAGGAGCTTGGGATCGTTCCTGACGTCACCTTCTAAACATGATGACGACTACTCGTTATTTTAAATTGTTTAAGAAAACATAAAAAAAAAGTGTAATAATTTGGTAAAATACAAAAAAGTGCGGTAATTAAAATAATGTATTATCTTCTTCTTTTTTTTCCCAGAGCATCAAGTTAATTTTACATGACAGAGAAATGTACAAAAGAATCAATTTAGATTCTTTCTTGTTTTGCATTTGCTTCATTACTAGGACTGGCTATTTGGTTGGTTTGGTGGCCAATCACGGATGATATCTAAAACAGATAGTTTATGGTCTTGTTCTTGTTCTTGCTCTAGTGTTGAAGATGTTGATTGATGATCTACGGCGGCGTCGAAACATGGAAGATCAAGAAACGAACCAGAAAAAGAACCAATCTCTCCATGTCTACTTCTCTCACCAACGTCTTGACCTAAGCTCGATACAGATTTTCTAGGGCTTTCATCGGATTCCCACAGCTCGGAGTCCGACAAGCAATTGTCTGAAACGCAAGGAGATGACTGACAAAAGATATCGCTGTTATTGTCGTCATCGGAGTTACTAGCCTCTGGAGCCAACTGAAACGAAGGGAACATATCTGTATTTTCACCATTTCGCTGAGATTGACCCGGGATTCTCAGTTTCAATTTGGAAAGTGGAGAGGTATCTATGGGGTTGAACGATATTTTCATATGTTCAACCGGTGGTGATGAAGTAGGCGAGCCAAAGAGAGATGATTCATAATCCAACTGCTCTTCAAAGCTTGAGTCACGGGGAGTTTGTTGAGTCGTTTCTTCGATAGCTGCTACTTTAGTACCATAGCTAGTAGTAGGTATGGATTCAAACTTGCAAGTTGAAGAAGACTTTCCACGAAACCCAGCCATGAGTAATCTATGACTTAAACCAAAGACTTTGAATGATGTTGCGGTGCTCTGTAGGTGAGAGAGAGATCCATTAGAATGACTCAACATGTTATGAGACGTGGGATCTGAAACAACTAATGAACGTGAGCTCTTCTCGGTATCCTCAACTGATCTGCTCGATGATTCCTGCTTCCTTGTAGCAAGAACACTGGCTTTGTTGATCTCGTCCTGTATATGTTCGCTTACAGAATTAGGCTCAGCATAAACTGGAGGTTTCGATGGAGCAAGTCCAAGGAGTCCTCCATTGCTCCATATACTTACTGGTTCAACACTTGCATCATTTGACAGAGTTTCCTGAGTATCACAACTCAATGGACTTGTTCTATCAGCAGATTCTGGTTCCAAGAACCCACTCTTCTGATTCTTAGCAACGTCTGATGCTGTGTAGTGGTTGTCAAATGCTTCACCTTCTTTTACCGAGATATTTTTAGCAGGAGAGTCTGTCACCAAAGATTGTGAAGCAATAGGCATTTCGGGTTCTGACAAAGATGGAAACGTGGGATCCGGAACGTCTGGTGAGAACTTTTGATCGAAAATAGCTTCTGCAAAAGATAAAAATGCAGCATCGTCCAAAAATACTTTTTGGTCGGGAATTCCTTCCGCCAAATCCAGATATCCAGCAGCAGGTTCTTTTGGCAGAATACTGTCATCAGGAACAGGTTCTGCCACGGACGTGGCAACAGGTTCTGCAGGGAAGGTTTTGTTGTGTGGACTAGTTTCTATTACAGAAACACGAGCTTCTGAGCCAGGAATCTTTTCGTCAAAGACAGCTTGAACCGATGACACATCCATGGAAACAGGTTCTTCAGGGAAGCTTTCCTTAAGTGGAACAGCTTCTGAACCTGAGATCCTTTCAACCAAAGACATATCCGTGGGAACATGTTCTTCAGGAAAGCTTTTGTTGTGTGAACCAACTTCTGTTGTGGAACAAGGAGCTTCTGAGTCCGAGATATTTTCATCAAAAGCCGCTTCGATCAAGGAAATATCTGTGGCAACATGTTCTTCAGGGAAGCTTTTGTTGTGTGGACCAGCTTCTGTTGTGGAACCATGAGCTTCAGAACCTGATATCTTTTCAACAAAAACAACTTCGGCCAAGGACATATCCGTGTCAACAGCTTCTTCAGGTAATGTTTTGTTGTGTGGACCAGCTTCCGTTGTGGAACCATGAGATTCTGAGTCTGAGATAGTTTCATCAAAAGAAGCTTCTGCAAAAGGTGAACATGTGGCATCGGGTTCTTTTATCGAGAATACATCTTCTGCCAAAGATGGATATGTAGGTAAGGGTTCTTCTGGCAAGTTCTTTTCATTCGAAACAGCTTCTACCGAAGACTGATATATGACACCAGATTCATTTGAAAAACTCCTTTCATTCGGAACAGCAAATTCCAAAAACGGATTTGTGCCAACAAGTTCTTCATGTGAGGTTTTCTCGTGCGGAACAGATTCTTCCAGATATGGATATGTGGAACCAGGACCTTCAAGTGGCAACATGTTTTCATCACCAACAGCTTCAGAAAAAGATGGATGTGTAGCATCATCAGGTTCTGGCAATTCTTCCAAATAAGGATACACTTCCAAAGGTTCTTCTGGCCAGAAGTTTTCGATGGGCTCAGCTTTTGTCAAAGACAAACATGTGGTGGCAGGTTCTTCTTGCAAGACCCTTTCATCAGCAAAAGCTTCTCCCAAACATGGATCTATGCCAACAGATTCTTCTTCAAGTGAAATTTGCTCTTGTGGAATAGCTTCTGCCACAGACAAATTATTGGAATCAAGAACTTCTGGTGAGACATTTTCATCACTTTCAGCTTTGGCGCAAGATGGATGTGTGGCATCTGATTTATCTTGTGAAAGCTCCTCTTCAGGCAATTTTTCCAAAGAAGCATACGCTTCTAAAGGTTCATCTGGCAAGACTTTTTCGATAGGCACCACTTTCTTTGAAGTCATACATGTGGTGGCTGGTTCTTCTGGCAAACCCCTCTCACCAGGAATAGCTTCTACCAAACACGGATATACACCAACAAATACTTCAAGCAAGATTTGCTCTTGTGTAACAGCTTCTTCCAGGGAACAATTTGTGGAATCAAGAACTTCTTGTGAGATTTTTTCATCACGAACAGCTTGAAAGAAAGATGGATGTGTATCAGCTTCTTCATGTGAAATGTTTTCTTCTGGCAATTCTGTCAAAGAAGAATACGTTTCCGTAGGTTCTTCTGGCAAGAACTTTTCAGTGGCCACGGGTTTTTTCAAAGACAGACATGTGGTTTCATCAGGAGCAGCTTCTGCCAAACATGGATATATGCCAATAACTTCGTCAAGTGAGATCGTCTCTTGAGGAACAACTTCTGCCACAGACAAATATGTGGGATCAAGAACTTCTGGTGAGACTTTTTCATCATTAATAGCTTGAGAGAAAGATGGGTGTGTTGTGTCATCAGCTTCTTCATGCGAAATCTCTTCTTCACGCAATTCTGCCAAAGAAGGATATGTTTCCAATGGTTCTTCTGGCAAGACTATTTCTATAACCACATCTCTTTTCAATGACAGACAGGTGGTGACAGGCTCTTCGGTCCTTTCATCAGGAAAAGATTCCGCCAAACATTGATCTATGCCAACAACTTCGTCAAGTGAGATTTTCTCTCGTGGAACCGCTTCTGCCAGAGACAAATTTGTGGAATCAAGAACTTTTGCTGATATATTTTCTTCTGGAGCAGCTTTGACACAAGATGGATTTGTGGCTTCAGCAGATTTTTCTTGCCAGATCTTTTCTTTAGGCAATTCTGCCAAAGAATGATGTGTTACCAAAGGTTTTTCCGGCAATACTTTTTCGATAGGCATGGCTTTTGTCAAAGACAGACATGTGGTGGCATGTTCTTCGGTTAAGAACCTTTCATCAGGAACAGTTTCTGCCAAACATGGATGAATGGCAACAAATTCTTCAAGTGCGATTGGTTCTTGTGGAACACCTTCAGCCACAGACAAATTTGTGGAATCTAGAAAACCTGGTGGAGTTTTATCATCTTGAGCAGCTTTGGGAATCAAATCAGGTTTTTCTGCTTGGATCCTCATATTGTCAGGCACAGCTTCTACCAAAGACGGAATTTTGGGAGGTTTTTCAGGCAACATTTTTTCTTTGGGGACAACTTCAGCTAAAGACGGATATTTGGCAACTGACTCTTCTCGCAAGATCTTGTCATGGGGAACAGCTTCTACGTGAGATAAATATATGGTCATATCTTCTTCTGGTAAGATCTTTTCAACAGGCATATCATTTTCCAGAGACAGGCATGAAGCAATAGGTTCTTCAAATGAG